CTTCTTTCTCCCATGATTGTTCTCTCCAAGGAGTGTATCTACTTGAGGTAAATGTTCAACTCATATGCCTGTCTTTTGTTTGCTTGAGCGCTTTCTTGATCTCTTGGAGAACACTATATATTAGTCTTTTGAATACCTTATCAGGTAGTTCCATTACTATATCTTCCTCCAGTAGGTTTTCTGGTTCTTTATTTGGTCACTTGCTGGAGCCATCTTGTCCTCTCCTTTATGTGATTTAATATTACCTGTTGTCTCCAACTCAGAGTTCCAAAGTTATCCTCTATATCTGATTCAGTTGTTTTCTTGAATCTTTGTTGTAAAAAAGATGTTATGAGGCATCTGATTTTTCCACCATCTTGAACCGACTCCCCTATTTTCTTTATCTTAAGATGAGACCAAATGACCTCAAACTTTCTTTCCTGTGCTCAATTCTGCTTCCTTTAATATATCTAAGGATAGTTTCTTGGTCATTTCTGTTCAGCCTAAATAGAAAAGGATGGAGATGGAGAGTTTACCCTCATACATGGAAATAAAGGAGAAAGGTTTAGCATTTCAAGCTGACCAAACCAACCCTCTGGTCTTTAGAAGACCAGCTAGTTGGTCTTGGCCCTTACTACTCAAGAGTGTGACCCAGGGACCACTAGCATCACCATCATCAAAAAAATCATCACTGAACTTGCAGTTTAAAAGTTCCCAGGTGATCCATATGAACTCTAAAGTTTGAGAAGCCCTAGTCTGGGCCACATCCATTTGCTTAGTGACCTATAATTTCACATCTGTGTCCAAAAGACTGGTGATGTCACATTCTCCTTTCAACATGGTCTATCAACTGCTTTTCTCTTCCCTAGGTGAGGAAGCTCTCAACGAATACCTGAAAACCAAGACGGTGACACTGGAATATTAGGACATGCCAGGAAACCCTTGGCTGACAGCACCAGGTCTGTGCTCTCAACACACTTAAGTAAGAAGCCTGGTGTGCTGCAAAGGAGGTATCAGCCATGATCCAGAAACCACAGATACCACCGAGAGGGCCAGGCCACATGTCTACACATTGACTCCTATGCAGAGTATTTTCTAATATACTTTTATACCTTAAGATGATTTGTAGTTGTTGGGTTTTGACTGTATGGTTCATTACACATATTTCTAACATCTCAAGCTGCTTTTTTCGAGCTGCAAGATTAATCAATCTGCAATAGCTGTTTATATGAAAACATCAAACCATGAAGCTGTGAGACACAAGGTACATTTGTTGGAACCTTTGTATAATATGTACAGAGTTTAACCTCTGGACCAAACATACGGAGCCATTCAAAAGATTTTCTATCATTTTGCTCTCAAGGAACAGTATATCCTGTAAGGAATGTGAAGGTAGTTCTTTTTATTATTATTGATTGGAAATAAGATACATCTTAGTGCCTTTGATGTACTATTTTTTAACACACTGTGATAGGTAACCAACGCACAAACATTTGAGTACCTACTAGGTTGTGGTGGTTGTTGTTATGTGCCATCGAGTCATCTCCAACTCATAGCGACCCCTCCTTGGGTCTCCAAGGCGGTATCACTACAGAAGTAGATTGCCCAATCTTCCTTCCAAGGAGTGGCTGGTGGGTTTGAACTGCCAGTCTTCTGGTTAGCAGTCAAATGCCTTAGGCACTATGCCAGCAGAGCTCCCCTACGTACTAGGTACAAGGTATTAAAATTATGTTCTTTCTGAAGCATATACGGAATTTACTGAGATGATCTCTGGCTCTGAGTAGTTCAAACTCTACTAAATACTGAGCTTTAAAAGCTAGCTTTATGGTATGATAAAATAGAAAGTAGATGGCCTTTGAAGGCTCATCTTGGTTCACATCATACCATCTTACTCTCTATGTGACTTTGGGCAAAATCAGCAACTTCTCTGAGCTTCACCTTCCTTATGAATAAAATGGGGACAGTAACACCTGGCTCAGGAGAGTTATGATGAGGATCCAAAGCGATAGCATAAGGAAAGCACCTCCCACTGTGCTTTCCTCCTTGTAAGTTCCTGATACAACTGACTCTGTTTCCTCCCACCCAGCACTATTTTGAAAAATATATTGAGGTAAATTAACTAACTAGTTGAATTACTTCATTTTCCCAAAGTTCTTTTCATTAATCACTGATTCTAAGACTTTTCTCATCCATCATTCATCATTTTGTCACAGTGCCTAATACAGCAGCACTGAAATGTCACTCAGTGAAAAGCATCAGTGGTCCATGGAAAAGGGGCACCTTTCTTTCTGCAGCTCACACATCCCTCGTAGAACATCTTATTTTCATTTGCTACCTACTAGTTCTGTTGCTTACTGGCTATGTGATCTTGGACAAGTTGGTTACTTAATACCTCAGAGCCTAGCTTGGCATGTATAAAATGGGGTACAATTCCTCTTTCAGAAGATGTTGTAAGGATTCAATGAGATAATAGACATAAAGCACCCATCAAGGCATTTGGACCAGAGCTGGCGTTCAGGAAGTGGGGACTGTTACACTTGGGGACCGTTACACTCGTACATGCTGTATTCACGTAGTTTCCCTTTGCCAGACAAAAGTAGTTAGGTGGGTAAATACCACCATCTGCCTGTGACCAGAAGTTGAGTTTATGAATCAGAAATCTCTGGAAGCTGGTCAAAGCAATGAACTTCTACTAATCCTCCATTTAAAGTAGTATCTCATAAACATTCCTATTTCTCTGGCTTCAAAGAAGCCCTTTTTAAAAAATGATAATAAAAACCAAACTCATTGCCATCAAGTCAATTTTGACTTTACCCAGTCTTCCTTCTGCGGAGTAGCTGGTGGGTTTGAACCACCAACCTTCTGGTTAGCAGTCAGATACCTTATGCGCTATGCCACCAGAACTCCTTAAGAAACCTTTAGGGGAATGCTTATTACTTGGGTGACTCAGCAGCTAATCAGGAGCCAGGAGGGAAATGAAGGAAATCAATAAACAGGGTATTAAAATCAGCCAACAACATCAGAGGCAGAACTACCTAGAGGGAAAACTACCAGATGTGATCCTGGCATGACCCACAGAACCAAGTTTGCCTGTTGTGCTAGGAGTAAAAGACCCCAGATTCAAACATACTCTATAAACCAAAGACCAAACTCACTGCCATCCAGTCGGTTCCAATCATAGCGACACCCATTGGCTTTCCAAGGGTGTAAATCTTTACAGAAACAGACTACCTCATTTTTCTTCCACGGAGCAGCTGGTGGGTTCAAAACACTGACTTTTGGTTAGAAGCCAGATGCCTTACCCACTACACCACCGGAGCTCCTTACCAAGTTCTACAGAGACTCTTTCATTAATCCTTAAACAGGACAAAGACAAAGCAAATGCAGTCATCCGGATGAGGGGGAACATCAGCATGCACAGTACAGTGGCAGGAGGAATGCAGCGAATCAGAGGTGGGAGTCATTACGTAAGACAGAGAACGAAGGAATCATCACAAGATCAGGGTCCATCAGCGGCACAGGAGGGACCACAGAGGTGGGGAAAGGACCGTGACTGGGATGCCTACACAGCTGCAGGCTGAAAGAGGTTACAAGATGGGTTCTGGGGCTTCAACCACCTGCTGTATGGGGTCAGGGCATGACGCATGATCACGTGACTCAGAGTCATAGCCACTTCTGGGGATGTAACATGAAGAACAAAGACGGTGTCTGAACTTAGGCCAAGACTCAAACTGGAGTTAGAGCTCTTGCTAGAGGCCACAACCTTCCACAAACCAGGTGCTTTAGAACTCAAGCTCCAACACACTGTGAGCAAGTTTTATTCTACTTTTAGATTATAGTTCACTTACCATCAGAGCTTGGCACAGCTGAAATTCCTAGTTGGGGTGAATATTCTCTGGGCTCAGGTTGACAGTTCATGTTTGAATAAAATGACAAAAGTCTTCTAAAGGAACCACTTTTCAACGAAGTGTTTTAGCTGGTTTCATGTAACGGAAAATATGCTATCAGATATGTTAGTGATCCATGTAATGGCAGAAGAAAGTATGTCTGTTCTTCTGGGTGGATTTTCCTCTCTTAATGTCCACAGCAGTGTTTTTATTCAGTCTTCCTTGGGCTACAAACCTCTGAGCATTTGATAAAAGGGACCTTCTCTGTCCTACTACTGTTCCCAGAGTCCACGTGCAAATGCATCATTTACGGATGTCTTCAAAGGATTCACAGACAACCTAAAGCCCAAACCTGGGCCCCAGGTTAAGAACTCGTTTTTCTATGGCAAATTTCTATGAAGTT